AGGCACGCTCTGACCGCTGGGAACGGTCAACTTCAGAGTTCCCGAGCGTCCCATCGCCAGATGCGACTGGGTAGAACCGCCCCCAGTCTTGGGACCCTCAGAGACAGCGGGAACGGACGCAGCGGCTGAGGGAGAACCGCCTGAGGCCACCCTAGGGGGTCTCGCCGAGGAGGCATACCGACGGATACCTGCAGAGTAGATACATAAGTAAAACGCATGAGCCAACAACATCCCATCAAAGTCAAGTAGAACTAACTAACCGTGGAAACGCTGCACAATCTCTAGAGCGTTATCATGACCGTGGGGAGGCAACCGAAACTGGACAGTCGACGTGATCCGGTCGATGTGCGGTTTCAGGTGCTGCATCTCCTTAACTCCTTCGTCCCATTCATCGGTCCGCCCGTAAGAAAACGCGGTCAGCGGTTCCGCATCTCCTGAATACCACTTCCCAGTGGGGCGGGTGAAAAAATACTCAGCATACCAGGGAGAATCTAACTTAGGGGAACCGTAAACAAAGCCAACTTTCTTTGACCGCCTTCGAGGTGACCAGCAGTTCTTCGAACCGGTCATGGCATATAACAGCCGGAACGCATCCACGGACGGCTCCTCCTTCAGGCGGTCGCAAGCAGCGCGGTAGCAAAGGGAGTGAAAAATTATGGAGGGGGAAAGGCGGCTCAAAGAGCAGTTAAGGTTTAGAAGAATTCCAGTAAGAAGCGGGTCGAGCGGAAACTCCAGTCCCAACCGCATATGCTCCGTGAAAATGGTGATCCACCCAACGGGACACGAACCGCATCTCCCTTCCGGGGCTGGAGCCGCATATTCCCAATCCGCCGGCAGCTGATGTCGGTGGAGCTGGCGGAGTACTTGAATGGGGGAGTACGCGGGCTTATATTTCGGGCCATATGAGTAGACCGCGTTGGGAACTTCCTCCCCCTCCCACATGTCCGAATGCAACCGTACACGGTACACACGGTCAGCAACCGCCTGGAATGGGTGAATGATCGGCGTCTCGGACAGAGCAAGTACGGAGGAGTCCTCAATGGAATCCTCTCCTGCTGAGTCGTGAGCCGTGTCCTCCGGCGCGCCTTCAGAGGACAGCTCGACCAGGTTGTCCCCAACCCGGGAGGTCGCGCCGCGCTCCACCACGGAGGTAGCCGTGTCAGCTAAAGTGCCAACCCCTAGCCCTAAAATGAAGCCGTCAGGTCTATCTACGTGCTCACTCGCGTTAACCGCATTACCGCCCCCACACAACAATTCAATACCCTCTGAGTCCCATTCTATGTCGGACAAGCTTAAAGGGTTAGAGAAAGTGGGCATACCTGCTCCAGGTGCGGGACCGCCTGCGCTCGCGATTTTAGTTGCGGGGCGCGTGGTACTGGCGCCGCCGTGAAGAGCCGCCCCGTCGCCGGAGGCAGTGGCCCCCGCCGCTCCAGAAGCGGAGGCCGTCGCGGCGGCCGAAGCAGTGGTCGTGGCGACATCGAAAGCAGAAGGCGGCGCCGACTCGCTGGAGAGACCTCGGTTCTGGCTATCAGAGTGGGTAGTCGCCTGTGAAACCATTGCTAGCAGATGCCTCCTCTTCTTCTTGTCTCGTTTCAACTTTCTCCTCAGCGAAGAAAGAAATCGATAGCGCTCCGCCGAAAGAGAGAGACGAGTCTCCAAATATCGAGAGAGAGAGAACCGAGAACAACGAGCAATTTTGAATAAGGGGGAGAGCAGACGAAAGTGAGAAAGGATTCCCCCACAGTCACACTAAGGGTATATATAGTGACAGGGGGGAGGCTGATGTGACGGTTGAGTGCCCGAAGTGTGGCCATTGGCCACGAAATTCAAAAACGGGCACGCGAAAGGACGTTTCGCATGCCCGGTGTCAGAGCACGGAAACCGATCCACGGCCACGTGTGCAAAGCGTCTCCACCAGGAAACTCGCGAGGCGACCGAAGTACTGATCAGGCGGGACAACCCTAAGCCTTCGGCGACCAGGGGCAAGGTGAGATAAGGAGAGGCGTGAACCGCTCAACTAGCTGAATGCATTATGGGTAGCCGCCAAAGCCCTAGGCTTTCCCGCCTAAGGGGCAATTGTTGGGCCGCATAGTTGAGCGTATTTGGGCTTTGGGCCCAAGGGGAGCAAGCCAGCAGACAAGGCCCAGTGAAGGACCCGGAGGCGACCAGAAGACCGGGTCAGCAGGCGGTCCCTGACCGACTGCAGGCCCGAGGATGAGCCAGGGCGCCTGACATAAAGTGACTGAGCAACGCAGAGGGGCAGGGAGCCGTTGGAGATACGTATCTTACGTCAGGTAAGACTGAGCATTTATTGCCGGACACAGGCGGCCTGCAGAAAGGCTAAAAGCCTGCCAAGGGCGCCCGACACGGGTCGAGGCGCCCGACACAGGTCGAGGCGCCCGACACAGCATTTAATGCCCCAACCACCCTTAGAACTGGTATAAATATAGAGTGTGTGCATTAATGGTAAACTCAACTACTACTCTTCTCTCTACATTAAATCTCTCTACTTTATTCTCTCTCTAACTTAGGCTTCGGAGAGTGTCCCGGGCGACCGCCCCGGACCCCTGTTTTGCAGAGTATCTGGAGCGCCCCCCTCAGTCCAAGGACAGACGCCTCACTCCAGCTTCACAAACCGCCTAGTATCTACTAGGCACAAACAGAAAGCATAGCTAGTTAGTTAAAGTTCAGTGAAGCATGAACTGCCCCTGCCTACTGTTGTTTTATACCATCTGGATGCTGAAAAAAAGCTAATAAGCTTCCTCTGGTGTCTGTACAGCATAGTTCTACAGATGAATTCAGCTGTGTTTGCCCTTGTGAGTTAATAATTAGGGTTCTTGGGGTTTTATCTATGCTTGAGACATGTTTTGAGTTCCGCTATTAGTTTGTAGTTTTAGGTTAGAGGGTTTTCCAGCCTTTCTTTAGTTTCTTGCTCTCACCTGTATCGTTTTGCAGAGGAGCAGATTGGTTTTTCTTTTCATTTTCATTTTCTTTGTAATTCTGGATTCTGCAAAGTTCCATGCCCCAGCCTGCTTTTGAAGCATATATATAATTATTATGGCCACATCCTATGTTTGAATCAAAAGCTTATTTTCATGATTCTCTTGTTGTGTGCAGGCTACTGCCTACAACTCTGTATGCTCTGTTTTCTGTGGAAGTGGTGGGAGTCACGGCCTGGCCAGAGAGCTACATGAGTGTCCTATTTTATTTGATTATCACTTTGTACTTGCTTATATTTGAGTTTCTGTCAAATGCTGGTTTTATGTTGACATCTAACAAGGCAATTGAAAGACACTCGGGTTGGTAGATGTGGTAGAGAAATGGAGGTTCTTCCAAATTGCGTACTGTACTAATGAATGAAGTAATATAATTATATGTATAACACTTAATCATTGCAGTCCTATATTGATTCTTACTTCGTATATATAAATGATATAAATGAAGTAATATAAATATATGTATAACATTCTTCCAGAGGTGATGACCATAATTGCAGAGGCAAAGCAGAGGCAAAGGATACGTAGTTGTGGGAGCCATTTGTGGTCCAAGTTTGCGGTTGCGGTCCAAACCGCTCCAAACCGCTAATATATGCGATTTGATTTAACCGCACCGATAACATTGTGGTCTAACATGCGGTGCGGTCCAATTGAATGTGGTGCGGTGCGTTTTATATCAATACGGTGTGGTGCGGTCCGGACCGCACCAATGCCCACCCCTAATTCCTACCATAAAAAATATCTGCACCACCCAGACTAATATTCGTTTCTACCATAATAAATATCCTCACCAACCCTAACTAATATCCACCGTTTACAGACTAATATCCTGCTACATAGCCAAAATATCCACACATCGCGAACTAATATCCTCCATTCACATAATAATATCTTATCATCACAGACAAAAATCGACCACCCTACATTGTGTTCAAAACCATTTCCACAATATTGCCTTCTAAACCCGAAACCCTAATCGCCAAACACTAAATCCTTAACCCTAAATCTTAATCGCTAAACCGTAAATTGGTGTAATATGGTTGGCTAAGTGTGTGATGCTAGATGCTTAAATAAACAAAAGATCACATCGGAATAGTTATCAAAAGTGTCCCAATATCCGTACAACATAAAAAATATCCGCACCACCCAGACTAATATTCGTTCCTACCATAATAAATATCCTCACCAACATTAACTAATATCTACCTCTCACAGACTAATATCCTGTTACACAACCAAAATATCCACACATCGCGAACAAATATCCTCCAATCACATAATAATATCTTATCACCACAGACAAAAACCAACCACATTACATTGTGTTCAAAACCATTTCCACAATATTGCCTTCTAAACCCGAAACCAAAAAACTCGAACCCTATACCTGAAACCCTAATCGTAAACCCTAAACCCTCACTCTCCTACTATTATTGTTTCATGGGCCTTCGGCGGACAGCCCTAACTAAGGTTGCAAGCCTTATGTGTTAGGACTTGATAGTGTGTTAGTTTTGATGGAAGACACAATATCCATTACATCACAAACTAATATCCATTGCATATAATATTAGTTCATGTAAAAATAAATATTCATACAATCCAGACTAAACTGTAAACCCAAACACTAACACTAAATCCTAAACCAAAATCCAAACCCTAACCCCAAATCCTAATATTGAAAAATAGATAAATATCTACACAAACAAACATAGATAAATATCACAAACTAATATTCAATCATTTAGCAATAAATATCCGCTATAGCCAAAAGAAATATTCATTGTAACCACAAGTAAGAGACAGAAGAAAAAAAAAGGTGTTGAGAGAGAGAAGAGTTGTGGACCCAGCACCACTTTTCCTTTCTCTCCCAATCCCGCTCAAATTATGGTGAACCCAACGCCACCTTCTTCAATTTTGCGGCTGGGCCGGCTTTAAGTCCAAGCCCAAGATCAACTCACTTAAATGAGCCATTACAAGCCTTCAATCCTCCTCCCTTGGAATGTATGTGGGCCGACGTGGCTATCATCTCTCAGTATGTGCTAACAGATTTCCCTGTTAGCAGTTTAACTTTTGCGTCTTTCTCACTCTCTAGTCTCTTCCCGTGTCTCCTCGCGTTTTCCTCGGTGCTCATCCCATGATGCCTCCGTCGTCTGCGATTCTCCGCTTTCCTTCAATCTGCAATCCTGTGTTCGTCAGCAACTACTACGACACTTGCAAATTCCCGAGAGTTGATGCCGTCAATTTCCTTCCACCAACATCCACGAAGATTTCCGCGGCCAAACATCCCAATCTTCCATGCCTCACTGCGGAGAAGCATGGGTTAAAGGAAATCAATTCGATTGACAACTGTCGAACCTTATCCGTCGAAGAAAAAGAAGAAGGAGACCACCAGTGGCGAGGCAGTTTCGAGAAGAATCTCTTCGTGGCTGCAATTAGAGCATTACCTGGTAGACGGATGAGTACCCTACTCGCCAATTTCGAGAAAGATGGCAACTTTGGTTGCATTTCAGACTTCAACGACCTTCTCAATGCATTGGTCGCGGGCAATAAGCTCAATCTCGACCTCCCCCTGCAACTCTACTCCAGATTATCATCCTACGGCTTGGAGCCTGATTCGTCCACATTTTCAGCCATGATCGAATGCCACTGCAAGAGAAACGATGTTGAAGAAGCGGAAAGGGTTTTGAATCAGATGCTGGACAGTGGGTGTGCCCCGCCAGAAGTCACAGTGTTCACCACATTAATCCACTGTTTCTGTCAAAGGGGGAAATTGCAGAAAGCGTTTCGGGCTCTTGAAATGATGGAAAGGGTGGGGAGGAAACCTTCTGTTCAAACATACAATTGCTTGCTCAAGGGATTGTGTTATGTGGGGAGAGTGGAAGAAGCATTTGAGCTGCTGCAAGATATCAAGAAAATGTCCACTGTGCTACCCGATATGTACACGTACACGGTGATGATGGACGGGTTTTGCAGAGTGGGTCGATCAGACGAGGCGATGGAACTGATGAACGAAGCTTTGGGGATGGAGTTACAGCCAACGGCAGTCAGTTTCAATGCTCTGTTCCATGGGTATAATAAGGAAGGGAGGCCCCTAAAAGGAATAAAACTGTTGCAGCAGATGGAACAGAGAGGTTTATCGCCTGATTACGTTTGTTATAGCACATTGTTGCGAGGTTTGTTGCTGTGGCGGCAAATTCCAGCTGCTGCCCGAATATACGAGCAAATGGTGGGTTGCGGTTATGAAGCTGATGAAGGGTTGATGAACAATCTCCTGAGAGGTTTGTGCAATAGGAGGACACTGGCCGATGATGGTCTTTTTCAAGTTGCACACCAGGTGTTCGAGAAAATGAAAAAGAGGGGCTTCACCATAGACTGCAGGGCTTATAACGTTGTTATCGAGGTCCTCTGTCGGTTGAATAAAGTCGACGACGCTTTGGTGAGTTTGCGGGAGATGATTAACTTGGGTAGCACGCCGAGAGTAATCACTCTGAACATTTTGATTCGAACTCTTTGTGAAAGAGGGGAGGCAAATAAGGCAGTTGGTATTCTAGTTCTCATGTTAGAAAACCATATACAGCTGCCCAGATTGTCATATGACAGTTTGATTGACGAACTGAATCGGCAATGCATGTATTTTGGAGCTTCTTCTGTTTATAGCTCGGCACTTGTTCGAGGGGTGGTTCCTCAGAATGAGCCACACACGTAAGTTTTAAGCAGCTATGTATATTGTATGCAAAACTTATACTATTGAGATGAATTCATGGTTGACAGATTACAATAGTTATGTAGAAAATCTACCCTGCATTGCATCTCTCCCATCTTATCTAAACCGCTCCGCAAGAAAACTCTCAATTTTACGCCCTGCTCATGTACTGCCCAGTTCTTGTGTCCACCAGTATCTCGTCACCAATGTTGACAAAGAGCGGAACGTTCACCACGGCACCTGTATCGAGTGTTGCCGGTTTAGTTCCACCTGCCAGGAGGATAGAAGTTACTCAGTGACCGAGCCAAGCTACATAAAGTTTATGTGCGAGAGAGGTCTGCCTATCGATTACTTATTAGATCCTATTGCCTTCTCCTAGAAGGCAAAAGCATTACCTTGAGCAGTGTCGCCTTTAAGACCAGGATCAACATCAACAACCGCTAGCTTTACCGTGATTGGAAGATCAAAATCAATTACCTGCAAATGCATGAGCAGATTTAAGGATTGAAACTTGCAAGTGATTGCTGCTGGGCTTAATCAAGGTATGAACGATAGGTCAAAGTATTGAGACTTTGTCTGGAGCACAGGGAATCAAGTAATACCTTCCCTTTCCAGAATATCAAATTGCAGTCCATTCCCTCTTTCAGCCACTTGGTCTTTTCTCCAAGATCTGATTCGCTCAGCCTGGATTCTTCATATGTGGTCTGAGAAAAATCAAAAGCTGCTAATTTGCGATATAGAGAAAGAACCACATTTTATCTGAAGTATCAGCAAGTCGCGAAATCGAAGCCATTAAGCAACAATGAGGGTTACTAGAAGGCTGCAAACTCTGTGAGTGGAAACAAAGTAAGAAAAGAGAAGATGCGAAATTTTACCAGGTCCATGAATACATACTGAGCTCCATCTTTATAAGTATACTGCTTTGTTTCCTTGAATACATTTGCCTCTTCCATCTTAACAAGCAACAAACAGAAGAGCATATTAGATAAACCGAACTTCCTGCAACTGTGCTCGCACTATGCCTCAACTAAGCTACAAGGGGAGAGCTTAGTGTTTGTGGGAAATCATTAAAAACTTATACTGCTCAAATCTAGTTATTAGCAGCATATTTCTACAACTATAATCCATCAGGGCAGCAGATAGCCTTGCAGACTGAAAACGTATGTGTAGCTGGATAGTTCGAGCATAATATTGCTAATAGATGGCCTGATATTCCCTACAAGTAAATGACTCTGAAAAATTCACCCCTTTCTCAGAGACAAATCATCAAACAGATAGTAAGCATGTCAAGTGCCACTTACAAAACCATTCACACACACAAAACTCTAACACAGTTCGGAAGGGGATTACCGGACTTCCAGCCCGAAAAGTTTTCTCGACGGTGTTTCCCGTTATATAATTCCGCATTTTGGTCCTGACGAATGCTGCCCCTTTCCCTGGTTTCACATGAAGGAACTCTGCACGCGAGGTAAACACTCGGTGAGACCCATTAAAAAAAAATTCCTCCTACCATTCCGTCGCATTATCATCCACCATACCTGAAACTGAAAGATGGGAATTAGCGGATGTGGATGAAGGGAAGAAGTGGAAATACCTAAGACTTTCCATGGAGCTCCGTCAACTTCAAGCTGGGTACCCACTTTGATATCATTGCTAGTTATAGCGTAAATCTCTGCAATCAGCAAAATCCACATTCCCGTTACCAGAATTATAATCTGAACCCGAAAGTAAAAGGAGAATTGAGAGCGTAAGTACTTGGGAAACTGGAGCGGGAAGGAGTTCTGCGGGAAACCCTCATGGGAATGATGAAAGGGTTCGTGGAGAAGGAAAGCGACGAAGATAATGAAGAGCGGAAAACGGCATTTGAGGAGGCGAAAGTGAAGGCGGTGCTTCCCGCCATGATTGTGTTTCTGAAACGGAAGCCGAGGAGGATGAAACTAATGGGATTGTGGCAGCTAAGTCTAGTCCATTCGTCGGTGGTGTCGGAGAAGCCAGTAAGCTTTCACCGGGAGAGAGATAAGAGAAGAGGAGACGCGGGACATCGGGTTTGGATTGGACTGAATTGGGCCGTTCGACATCCATACGGGCCTAGATTTCAACACCAATACAGTCCAGTGAAGACGTCATTCTTTTCCCTAAACTCAAATATGTACGAATATCAATGTGTAGCAATGGTGTGAAATTTCTTTTCCCTAAACTCAAATACAAATATCAATTGTGAAAAAGTTAAATTACTTTTAAAAAAGTTTTTTATTCTCTGTGATCTCTATCCTCCTTGGTTTTAGGGTTGAGTGCTGCTATGGCGGCCTCCCCACTGCTAGGATCACCTTTCGATAAGGTTTCCAGGTCCAGCTTGTTCGAAGTAGCGGCTGAGAATCGAATTTGTTATCATCCTCTGATTAAATTGGGTGATGGGTTTCGTCTGTCGAAGGAGGCAAGGGAGAAAGGACTAACCCCCCAAAGGACGAATCTAGTTCAGAATTAGGCGAACACCTTATGGGGTAGGATGGATTGGTGAGAATTTTAAGGTTTGGTTCGCGATTTCTTGTTTTTCAGTTTTCATCGTGATTGCTTGTGTTTCAGTTTTCGTCGCTTGTGATGAGTGATTGAGTTTTTTGGTCGGGGCCATGGCATTTTCAGGGCAACCCGGTGTTTTTTAGGAAGTGGAAGCCTAGTATCCAGTCGGTGGTTCCCCCAGTTGATACTCTCCCAAACTGGGTGAGGATCTAGGGGTTTCCGCTGGAATACAACAATGCAGAGGGACTTGAGGAGGTGACAAGTACTTTAGGGCCTCCACTCTGGATGGATCAAACCACCAAAACAGGAGGACAGTTAGGATTCACAAAGGTTTGTATTGAGATGGTAGCGGATTCTGGATTCCCAAGTCTATAAGATTTTATCTTGATGAATACCCACTTTTCAATATAGATGTGGAGTATATGAATTTACCTTTAGTATGTCCTAAGTGCCACATCTTTGGCCATGACTGTGAAGCTCTATCCCCGAGTAATAAGAGATAAGTTCCCAAGCAGAAGGGGTTTCGCGTTGAAGAAGAGCCTGGAAGGGAAGTTTTGGAGAATGATTAACAACCGAAAGTGCCGAATGATGTAGGTATATGGAAGATTCAGGTAAAGGGAAGGAAGTACAACTTGTGTCTGTCCCAGATAGTTCCCCGCCAAATGGAACTGCAGTTAAGAGTTTTGCAACAGTGGTTCGTGGGTCATCAGTCTTAGGAATAGGGAGCCTAAAGACTCAATCGCAAGTGGTTGTTGGGGGTGGATCATCGGTGGTTTTTGTCGGCATTCTATTCTCGCAATCAACTCTGGCTGTCAAATCTGGGCAACTGGCAAAAGAAGTGCAAGCACTGGACAACAAATTTGCTCCGTTGGAAAATGTTGAGGTTGAATATCCTAGACCATCTCAAGTGGTTTCACTAGCTCCTCCAAGGAAGGGTGGAGGTCGTGGACTCGGGAAAGAGGTCGTAAATGGAGTTGCTAGTCTGGAATACTGAGGCTTTAAGACCTCAAAGAAAGGTAATGATGTTCATACTTTGATAAATAAGCATAACATAGACATAGTAGGTATAGTTGATCCTAGAATAAAAATAGCATATATAGAAAAGTTGGTGAATGAGGGGTTTCCGGACTAGCTGTACAAAGCATCTTATAATGCGAAAGGATTGGGGAAGATATGGTTAATGAGGAGAAAGGATGTACAAATACAGGTTTTACACAAGCAAGAGCAATATATTCACGCATTGGTTGGGGTGTTCTCCTTTCTTTTTGACAGTGGTGTATGGTTCTAACACAGACTCTCACAAAAGTGAATTGTTCAAGGAAGTCAAGATGATTAAGGAAGATAATATACCCTGGATTGTCCTGGGCGATTTTAATATTATAAGAGGTCCTCATCTCCTGATTTCTCTAGTACTATGGCAAAATTTAGTGATTGGCTTGATGAGATTGAGGTGGAGGAGCATAAATCTGAAGGGTTGTGGTTAAATAAGCAATATGGGAATCCACTTGCTAGAAGGTAGGATAGGGTTTTTGTTAACCTAAAGTGGATTGAGGCTGCGTTTGAAAATGAAGTAAGATTTTTGGAGCGGGGAGTCTTAGATCATTGCTCTATCGTTGTAAATGCGAATGGAATTTGAAAACACTGCCTAAACCATTCCGGTTTTGGCAATCTCATCCATAGTTCTATGATTTGGTGAGGGAGGTATGGACTCCTGAGGTTGTAGGTTTGTCACTTGTGAGGGTTTGCAGAAAGCTTAAAGTATTAAAATGGTTGTTTAGGGAAGTAAATAGAGAAGTCTACTCTGATATGCGAAGTCAAATCATAATGAAGGAGCAAAAAGTGATAAGGGCACACTATGATGCTATGGATTCCCCTTTAGCTGCAATGTTTGAAGTGGAGGCCAGGTTATCAAAGGAGTTGGATGAGATCTATTCTATGGAGGAATCATTTCTTAGACAAAAGTCTAAAGAAATCAGAATTACTTGTGGAGACTCCAATACATCGTACTTTCATAGATCTGTCAAGGCGAGGCAGAGTAGGTATATTATTAGATCTCTAAAGGATGAGACAGGGAAGAGGGTTATTGATGTTAGGGAAATGGCGGATGTGACAGTAGCTTTCTATGAGAAATTTTTGAGGGTTGAGAACACATAGGTTCGCTCAAGTACAATTGACTCGCTCTGAATATCACAATAAAATCCCACATAAAACACAAGTATAAACCTTAGATGGGTGCAATATGGGGCAAGTATGTTTAAATATCGACACGGGCCAGCTCATGTACCGCTACTTCGATTGTTTGAAACATTATCTAGCGAATTAGTTTTGGTGAAAACAAAGGTCTAAAGCTAAATTACTTTGCAAAGGTAAAATAGATTTGACACTAATTGAGAAGGCTTCACCCGGGTGTTACTCCCCCTAGCTAACAACTACGACTTGAAGAATCGAATGACCGTGTGTGGTTAGGGGGGTTATAAACCACAGGGAAGTCTAACAAGTAGCCAAGGCTACCCTCTTAGTCTCTAGGTCGAGGAAATGGGATACGATCCAAACCACTAATGCAACCCTCTCGACCTATTGACTAAAGAATGGTTGTCCAACAAGTAGCCAAAGCTACCCTCTAGGTCTCTAGATTGAGGTAATGGGTTACGATCCAAGCCGCTAATGCGACCCTCTCAACCTATTGACTAAGGAATGGTTGTCCAAAAAATAGCCAAAGCGACCCTCTTAGTCCCTAGGTTGAGGAAATGGGATAAGATCCTAGCCGCTAATGCGACCATCTCAACCTATTGACTAAGAAATGATTAGACTTCACCCTGGAATTGGAGTTTTAACGACCACCCACAACCAAACCCTAAGTGTTAGTACGAAATATGAGGTTTGCCCTGCATTAACCTAACCAGGAGGCAACAAAATACCCAAGAAAACCTAGCATTCAAGCCTCTTTCAAAGAAAGGAATGGGGGCTTCTCTCTACCTAGGTTAGAATGGCAATTAGATTGATAGGCTTTCACACAACACAACAAAATCATTTATGAATAATACCTCCACATTCACATTAAACACAACCCCTCACAAAATCATTCAATTCATACAAGCATTCACATAATTGTAGCTAGGGTTTACAAACACCCAAGTGAAAGAAGGGACTACTTCATGCTAGGAGAAGGGAAAAACAAGAGAGGGAAAGGAAAACCATCAAGAAGATGCAAGCCTTGCTCCTTGTGTTGAAGAGATCCTCCTTTGGGGGAGAAATTCCCAAATCCTTTCTTGGAGATGAAACCCTAGTTTTTCCTCTTCTTTGGTTCGTCACTTTCTCACTCTAAAATCTGATGAAGAAGAAGAAGAAGAAGAAGAAATAAGTTTCTCACACTAGGTCTCTCCCTTTCTGCTTCCTTTCAGCTGGCTTTTTATACTGAGATCGAGCCAAGTTCACGGCTTGAGTTCACTGCTCGTCCGTGAACACAGCGCGCTGGACCAAAATGCACCGCTTCACTTCTTGGGTTCACGGTTTGTGGTTGCAGTTCACGGTTTTAGCGACCGTGAACAACCTTGGTGTCAGTAACCTCAAAACCCTCTCTGGATGCTCCTTGGTTCACGGATTGTGGTTCCAGTTCACGGTCCTACAAGACCGTGAACTCCAATGGCAGACCGTGAACATAGGCTGTCTCCTCCTCTTTGCCCGGTCTTTGTTCGTTTTTCCAACTTTTGACTCCGGGGTTGGTTTCACCTGTTAGGATTTGAACACAAAAAACCTCTCGTAAAACCACCCCTTCTGGAGCTCAATTGCAACAAACGTCAAAGAGAAACGAGGGTAAAAAGTGTACAATTAGACCTGAATCATCAGTTGACTTTTATATATCTCTTCTAGACAAGAAGTTGCTAGTGGATATGCTTGTTGGTTTATGTGCTCCTGTGACTGCGGAAGAGGTCAAGATGACAATTTTGGGCTGCAAGGAGATAAAAGTCTGGACCATATGGGTTGCCTGCCTGCTTCTTTGATTCTATTTGGGATATTGTGGCAGGTGAGCTGATAGTGGCAATTCTTCACTGTTTCGAGGAAATGACTATCCGTAATCAAGTAAATGCAACATTGATTGCTTTGATTCCTAACGTCTTGTATGCTGAAGATATAAAGAACTATAGACCTATTTCCTGTTGTTTGACTATTTATAACTTATAAGTGCATTGCCATAATACTAGCAATAGGTGAAGTTCCTGCTTACCTTGTGTAATAAGTAAGAATCAAACCACTTTTGTCAAGAGTCGTTTAATTGGAGAGAATATCTTACTGGCCCATGAGTTAGTTCATAAGTATAATAGGAAGAATATATCACAAAGAAGTACGTTGAAGATTGATATCGTGAAGGCATTCAACTCGGTTGATTGGAGATTTCCTTTCCAATTAGGGTTAATAGAATTTTATGCCCTTCTACTATTGCAAATTAACAAATGTGTCACTTTACTATATTTTTGCACAAACGTACCCTTCTAATATCACAACGTAACGAAAATGCCCTTCCGTTAAAAATTCTGTTAAGTGG